GAACTCTAGAATAGCCTTAAATTTGAGGTAGAGTATGTTTAACAGTAAGACATAAGCAGAACGATATGTGAAGGGGTATGCTAGTAAATGAGACCCTGGGGAAGTAATGTCCCTACCTTATGATGTTTGTTGGTGTTTTTATTTAAAGAAATTATGGTTTGTATATGAACTCAGTGTATTTTGTAAGTCTGCAGAAGTTGATTAATTTAAGCCATTGTTACTAATTGGCAACAAGGAATAGACCGTGGAAAGTTAGGCCAATAGAGACAAGTTGGAACTGGGACGTGACAAATTAAAGAGCAGTTGGAACTGGGACCATTGAAAACCAATTGGAATTGGGGCCAGTTGAAGGACCACTTGAATTGTCCAAAAACACACAACACCCACAATTTAAAAAAAAAAATAGAATACACAGATTTTCTATAGAAAATCGTTCAATTTATATACAATTTAATGTATTTTTTTTTTTTTTATAAAATGTGTAGATTTCTATAGGGGTTTTAGTTTATAGATTTATAAATGGTTTTTATAAAATTGTTTATAGATTTTCTATAGTTTTTAAAGGGTTTTTAAAATTAAATTTTCATAGACTTTCTATAAAGAATAGAATTTTCATAGTTTTTAATACTTTTTATAGAGTTTCAATAGTTTTTAATAGAGTTTTAATATATTTTTTATAGAGTTTTTTTAGTGTTTTTATATATTTTTAATAGATTTTTTATAGAGTTTTAATAGACTGTTTATAGTGGGCTTCTGTAAGGGTTCTATAGAATTTTATATAGATTTTCTAAACAATATATTATAGACATTCTATAGTGTTTTTTTAATAGAATTCTATAGACTTTTTTTGTATGGGTAGGCCTACATATACATTTTTCTCTCCGACAAACATTGTTCTTATCAAAGAGCCCAAAACACACCCCCCCCCACAACTTCTGTCTCCACTGATGCCACCCCTGTAACAGAAGCAAAAGAGGACAGGGCTACGAGAGCTGTCCAGAACCCTTCGACCGTCCAGGTGAAGGGAAAGATTCCCTGGAAACTGTTACAATTTTAGATAGGAAACTAGGCCTAAATTAATTTTTAAAGTCTTAATTTTTTTTTCTAATTTTCCTTAATAATATAACTATGGTTATAGGATTCCTATAAGATTCTAATAATAAACCTAAAGTTTCCTATAAGATTTATAATTATACCTATAGGATTCCTATAAGATTATTCTTTTTTGATTCTAATAATATACTATAAGATTTCAATAATATACATATAGGATTCTTATAATAAGATTCTAATAATCAACCAGTAGGATTCCTATAAGATTTTATTAATACATCTATAGGATTCCTATAAGATTTTAATAATAAAACTTTAGGATTCCTATAAGTGTCTAATAATATACCTATAGGATTACTATAAGATTTTAATAATAAACATATAGCATTCCTATAAAAGTTTAATAATAAACCTATAGGATTCCTATATGATTTTAATAATAAACCTATAGGATTCCTATAAGATTCTAATGATATACCAATAGGATTTCTATAAGATTCTAATAATAAACCTATAGGGTTCCTATAAGATTCTAATGATATACCAATAGGATTCCTATAAAGATTCTAATGATATACATACCAATAGAATTCCTATAAGATTCTAATAATATACCTATAGGATTTCTATAAGATTATAATGATATACTAATAGGGTTCCTATAAGATTCTAATAACATACCTATAGGATTTCTATAAGATTTTAATAGTAAACGTATAGGATTCCTAAAAGATTCTAATAATAAACCTATAAGAATCCTATACGATTCTAATAATAAGCCTACAGGATTCCCATAGGATTATCATAATATATCTATAACACTCGTATAAGATTGAATTAATAAATCCATTGGATATATACGATTCTAATAGGATTTTAATAATAAAAACTATAGGATTTTTTTGTTTAGGATTTCTGTAAGACTCTAATAATATTTCTATAAGATTCAAATAATAAGCCCATTGGATTTGTATAATATATGGCCGTTTGCTGTTTCATGGGTTTTTTTTCTATCTATAGGATTCCTTTGGATTTTTATAATAAACCTTTAGGATTCTTATAAGAGACTAATAATATACCTATAGGATTCAAATAAGAATTTAATAATAAACCTATAGCATTCCTATACAATTTTAATAATAAACCGATAGGATTCTTATACAATTTTAATAATAAAGCTATAGAATTCCTATAAGACTCTAATGATATACCAATAGGATTCCTATAAAGATTCT